ATAATTCATCAAGATAAAAAGTCCCACGCTGGTCGCCAACTGTAAAATTTTCGTAATACCCTCTTCAAACATGTACAAACGCATTTAATCTGTGCCAGATGAGAGCGCAATAAAACTACTTTGGACGACACTAGTGTACTTAGTGGGGACGATAAAGGTGCATAGGGAGTCGCAATTAGGATATGGCCATACAATTTACTTTTATACTGTTAGGGGAAATAGTTTATTTCAAGTTGTGACCTGACCTTGTGACGTTGTTAAATGTTTGCAATAAAAAACTTCTTGCAAATAACTATAAAAAAAAACAGTAACCCACGCTATCCCCAGTCCCTAAATCCTCAATCCTTACCAACCTTGAAAAGGCACTTTCACTTGTATACAACTTGGATCTCTTTTGGTGTTGCGAGATTGCTTACCATCAGGTCTTACAGTCAGTTGGCAACCTAGTCTATAAAAAGTATTAAACAATGTTCTGTACTAGTTTAGTTTAAACGTATATTTATATACTTATATTCATACGTTTTTTTTTTAAACTTTGCCCCACACTAGTATTTTCTCCTGTGTCGTGGGTGCGTTTACAAACATACAAATCTACATACACATCACACCCAGACCCGGAACCACAATTTGTGGATCACACAAAGAGTTTTTTCGTGCGGAAATCGAACCCGCGACACGTTGCACGGCAGCCAGTTGCCCAGCCACCGAGTCAACCGTGCAGTCGGTTAAAAACTTTAATCCTAAAATTGAAAGCACCAAGTCTTAATTCAATTTACCAAGATAATGTTATAACACATGACTCACTTATCGCTCCTTTCATAGCCGTACACGAAGCGCTTTTGCTCGCGTCATGTCAAAATGCAATTACGTGCAGCGCGGTAATGCACTGACGCGAACGCGGGTTCTCTTCCCGGATGTTGCATATTTACTTTTATTTGCAGCCCTTTGAAGTTACGTGGATCCGGTTAAAGGCACTTTAACGGGTAATCTTATTTTTAGGTCAGAGGGTAGGATGCAGGTAGGGCGAAAGGGTTTTTTAAGTTAGATATAGAGTGGAAGAGGAGCAGAGGCGGCCATTTTGTGATATACCTCTGTGAATGGACGTTGACTATATTGTGATGTTTTGATGTTAGTGCGTACTTTAAACATTTTTTCGCAGTTTAAAAGTTTATTCAGACAGAGATAGTAGATATTTTATTAGATTTTTATGAATCTGTGTTTATATAGATTTATAGGACAAGTTTGCAAGTATATAAAAAATGATTTGTTTTTATTTTATTTATAAGGGTAGGTTAAAGACAAATACTATTAATTAGGTAATGCATAAATGAAAGGAATAAACTGCAAATTTATTTGACAATATCTCTTAAAATAAGAGGAAATTTTGTTACAAAAGCTATAAATAAGGCAATGTTTTGAAAGGACAGGCTGATGAAACATACCTTCTAAAATTACCTGTTCTAAATTAAGAAGTATTGTTTATTTTGTTACGTGACGCCACGGGTAGTTGCTAGTAGGTTTAGAGCAAATACGGAATGCTGAGTCATATCTTCCCGTCACTTTAGCAAGGTTTAACAATAATATTAAATTCTCTGGACTCGATTGGAATTATATCATAGCCTCGCAGAAACCAGGAATTATAAAGAACTTGTTTTGTGCTCCGATATTGATCGAAGTACATCGTTCCAATTGCATCCGCTACTCCAGCTGAACATTGATCCTAGTAAAAAGCTATCAGACCATCTGACGTAGTCTGATGGCTCCTTGAAGACCAGGCAGAACGTTACCAACCAAGCGTACGCTGGGGAATAATCCTGGTTTAAGCTATCCAAAAATAGATACATAATTAAGTTATTATAGGTATTCAGTGTGGTTGCCGGGTAAGCGCCAACAGTCACCGTGGCCTCGGCCTAAAGCAGGGGAAGAAACGGGGGGGTTTTTAGTCAGTAAGTGTCTGACTCTTCCTCTCGTCCCAACCTAGGAGAAGTCATTAGATAATTTTCCCTTCAAAAATAATAAGCTCATACGAACGTTTTTCCTTTCTCCTATTCATGCTCGACTTGATAAAACAGGTATACGTTTCAGTACTTTTTAAGAAATAGACAAGGCAAGAACTTATTGTTGCTTGCATAGCATAAATAGCTATTTAAAAATAAAACTAATAAAGGTAATGGTTGTTCAGAGTAATCCATTTCGACAATATCAATAGGTTCGTGATTGAAATCATTTGAAAACACCAAACCTGTTTAAATAACATACCTATGTATTAAACAATCACAAATTGTGTTAACAAAATGAAAAGCAAACCAATCACTGAAAAATCTGGTTTATTTACTTTGAATATTACTATGTCATAAAACAACGAAGGTTTTACTGTATTACGGTCAACATTGTCAAGTTTACAAGCAGAACTTTGTATCATTGTAATAACATTGGTGTCACGCCATCCGAATGACCACTCTATTAGCATACTTTGATTTATTCTCATAACTTATTTAGATAGTACCAGCTGAATAACTAACTAGTGAGTAGGTACTTTGTATTTAGTTTTGTGCGATTTTTGTTTAAAGTTTAAATGCAGGCGTTGGCCCACGATAGATTTTCTCTGTATTAGCGTTCAGTGTGTGTGCAGAACCCGTCACACTTTGTGCAGTACTTGTCCTGCCACTGCACCAACCAACAGCCTCTTTCAGGTATCAGCTGATGTTGCAGTCGCAAGCAGGCCCCGGGCCCCACAAACCAGCAGCACACCAGTGGTTTGTAGTCAGTAAGAGTCTGACCATCCTTCTCGTCCTGCCAAGGTGGGCGAAATTTTAACTCTTCACCTTGGACAATGTCAATAACTATAGTTAAAAAAGATATATCTGGTTCACAAATCAAATGCCAGATCTTGGTTTTCAAATATTGTGAGACATAATTATTATATTTTATTAAATTACTTACTATTATTGGTAATTACATACTACGTGTCGAGGGGTATTAGGTTCAAAAAAATCTATAAATATTGTCCACATATTGTGATACGCTTGGTTTTCGCAGCATAGTCTATCGCTCATGAATATGAACCTAGCCTAAGCGTGGCTTGAAACTAGTCAACCTCCTCGTCAAACACTAACAATAATAACCCTTTAAACATTATTATTAATGAATCTTAAATCCGTTAATCTGCAATATTCTCCTAATTCCAAGTCATTGTCGTCTATTAGGAAAATACTATGAAGTTTGTTTTGCGTGATAATTTTCTCCTTTCAAAACACAATCAAGTAATGAGACGGTCCATGCTGTAATCAAAGAAATCAACTAAGATCAAAATTAATTATAATAAAGTTTCCCGAATGGCAAAGTTGAAAGCTACCTGAATCGTAGCCTCTTATATTTTTGCATAAAGGTTGATGCAAGTTATAAGAGATAGCGGTATGTTATTATTTCATATTTAGTAATTAGTAGTATTTCTTTACAAATAAGTAAGATTACAGCATTAAAATAAATGTAGGTTATTAAAACAATATATAACTAATATTTTAAATGCGAAAGTTACGTTGTTTTGATGTTTCTTACTCAATCACGCCAATACAGCTGGAGGGATCGGGGTGTAATTTGGCACAGGCATAGGAGCCACGCGAGCAAAGCCGCGGGCAGACGCTAATCAGGTTTAAACCCAAAATTATAATGCTCTGCCGTTACTCAGATATTTAATCAGTAAACATTCGAAACAAACAAAAGTAAAAAACAAGTCAAATGTCAAAATAGAATAGTAGTCCCTCGTTTGTACGTCGATGAAACTAAGTGCTATCTAGGTATATCAATAAGCTTGTCTAAAAAATATTACGACTTTTAATAATTATCATAGAAGTATCATCTTTACACCAGTTACCGTCATAGTACATACGTATGGACGTTAAATAATAATATTCGGGTACATACCGACTTTTCAAATATTGTGATGGAGGTCCGAAAAGTTCGATTTTAAGTACAATTATTATTTCTTCAAATTAAATAATATCTATAAATCTCTTTTCACCTAAAACTCACACCACATCATTATTAGAACTTTACTAGAGTCACTCGCCGTCATAATTTTAATTAAGAGAAAATTTTAATAGCAACAACTTTTAATAACTTAGATAAACGAACTTAGCCGGGACGTGGTGAGACGGTCTTGTGGCGGGATAAAGTCTGTTACTTAGTTATAAGTGGTCAAAGAAAAATATGTTTTGTTGCACAAAATGGGTCAAATAGATAGTATGGTCATGGTAAGAATTGGAGAATTACTGGCAGTTTTAAGGTTCCTAAAGTGAAGGACAACTATCCACTTTTGTTGATGATTATCGACAACGTCCGATGCACACGATAGTTGTCATCTTTTGTTTGAATAAAATTATTATTTATCTTTGTTTGTTTTTTCATACTTTCCATAGTCTTTCTGTCGCTGGTCTACTAGCCATTAAGGTAAAAAAAGGGTAGATTTTACATGATTGTGTGTGTGTATATTTAATGGGATAGGTCAAACCATCTCACGGTCACCTGATAGTAAGTAATCGCCGCCACCCGTGGTCATGGAGTTACTAATGCATTGCTGGTCTTCTAAGAATTGTTTATGATTTAAGAATTGAGAGTGAGGGGCGGAGGAAAAGTTTGGACCTCTGGTAACCGCACTCACCGGCGAAACATAACGTAAATGTTGTTTAACGCCCGTATTTTGGGATATGTGACGAAGCGTGACTCTTTCACGCTTAAAACGTGTATTTACATAAATAATAATTAGTCTTAGGTAAAAGATGTATAAAAGCCATAGTCGTACCATATTCTCAGCTACAAAGTTTTCTCTACCGTTTTAATTCCACCAACCACTAACTTAACAGTTTTCACAAAATAAAACGAAATAAACTTCAACGTTCCACGTGCAACCAATTAGTTTAATGTTACGTACTGCGCAATAAAATCGTCTTTCCCAGAACCAGAGCTCGGTCCGCCGGGATTTTCCGAGTATTTAGAACCTAATGGACAAATGCAAAAGATGGGATTGGTCCACCTTCCAGATTGGCAGTAAATCGGCTTACAGCATTAACAGGTGGGTAAGCTAAAGGCTTATCGAAGACTTAGTTTCTTGAATGTTCCCTGAATTATTTAATATTATTTAGACATGTGTCGGACTAATTTTCCAGGGATCAGGTAGTGTACGTTTTTGTTACGTGATAAAAAGACTTTCTTGTAAAAGGTTCTTCAATAGAAATATTAACATTTGCAGTAAATGTAACAAAGAAGAGGCTTCGTTTAAGGACTTTACTATGTAATTCCTTTGTTAATTTCATTCCATAACTACATGCTTCGCGCGTATCTTAAAGTGCCATTAGACCATCACAGATAGGAACCAACAGTGCCGATTCTGCCGGAGGTTCGGGTCATCATCATCATCATCATCATCAGCCTATAAGTGCTCACTGCTGAGCAAAGGCCTCTTCTCATACGAAGAAGGTTAGAGCATGAATCACCCCGCCTGCTCAATGCTGGTTGGCGATTTCAAACTAAAAATTAGAAATTTATAAGTCCAGGTTTCCTGACGATGTTTACCTTCACCGTATGTCAGACGTGTCTAAATAATCATAGAAAGTGCATATAACTTGGAATAAGTCACATTGGTACTTGCCAGGTTTCAAAACTCATGCATGAGAAGCGGGCTCCTTAACCTCCGGGCCACCACGACCTGGAGTTTCGGCTGCAAGCACAATAATCTACCGCAGCCGGGCCTGGAGAAAGAAGAAGAAAAGGGTAGTTTTCAGTTAAGTAATAGTCTGACACTAACTCTCGCCGCAACCAGACCAAACCAAACAGAAAAATACTCTCGGTTGGTGATCACTCTTTGTGTGATCCACAAATTGTTGTTCCGGGTCTAGGTGTCGTGTGTATGTGAAATTGTATGTTTGTAACAGCAACCACGACACAGGAGAAAATACAAAAGTGGGGCAACGTTTTTAAAAAATAAATAAAAAGAGAAAAAGTGATATCATGATTCGACCGAACCTCAAAAAAAAAATTACAGTTTTGATAAAATTTTAGGTCCATAAGTATAAGACATATTCTAGAAATTTTAATATCAACAAAATTTCCTACAGCTTCTACCTACAAGCGTAGCAAAAGTTATTTAGAAAATTTCCAATAGGTACAACAATTTTTCATATAACACTTTTACCATTTCTGACGATGCTATGCAGTTGATATCAATTTTATCACCTACTCCACAGCTCCTGGCTTCCTGAAAGGGATATGGAATGCCTGCACGTATTCAACACCGCTAGTACCTTTGGAATGTAATTTTCCGTGGTTCGCTTGGCAAGTATGTTGAGCTGAGAAATTAAGACGTCCATTCGCGTAGCCAGCCATATTCTACGAATTAAAGTGATATGAAGGATTTTGTTTCAGGTCTAGGAAAATGTTTTTGCCTTATGTGATTGCTTAATGTACTTACTGAGTTTTTAGTGATTTTGTTTCATGTGTATATTTTCTTTATGTTGTTCTCTTGACTTGGATTAAAGATAAAGATAACTTTATTCGCAAAACATGGTTGTAATTATTATAGATGGAGGGGATATTTTGTTTCAACATGTTTCACCATGACTGGTGTGCAAAAAATATAGGTACTTAAACGCTAACATAATTTGATTACAAATATGAAAATTCCAATTACAATAATTGATATGAATAATATAATAATACATTTACAATGTTTGAAAATGAGATTGTTTGTTTCATAAAATCTACTATGAATATAATAACCTATTGCCTAATATCTAATAAGTACCTAATATCCTTTATGACTAAATCTCAACTGCAGTGTTTAATTTCTTAATCAGCAATTTGCGGATTGGAGGAGTTTGGGAATTATTAAGAAATTGGCCTCCGGGATTCCTATTCACAGACTTTTTCACTCATTCCGAAGCATTCTTCCTCAGACTTGTATATAAGAAACGTTACTTTTCAACTGCCGTAAAATTTTACAGTCAGATTTAACAGTCAATATAAACCCGAGAACTGTTGTTTACATCCCCGTAGAATGTAAACTAGTCAATACTTAGTTTGCTATTGACTAACTGCGTAGGAGTCAAAGTAACTGATATTATGTTCTAGCAATTTGTAAACAAAATTAAGTGCTTCTTGAAGCGAATAAAGGTGAATTTACAAAGTAAATTATTTTACAAAGCAAACAGATGTCGTATCACTTACACTTGGTCGTTAAACTATAATGAGCTTTATCTACATTCTAGTTAATTTACTTGTACAAACAAACCTGAAAAATTGGTAGTTGTGTTTACTTTGTGACGAGGCTCACCTTTCTCCTTATGTTGACGATGTTGACGTTTTAACTTGGTTAAAGTTCTACCCAAAGTTATGTTCTAGGTAATGTTGGTCAAATAGGTAGATGTAATCAGCCTAGCTTATTGTTAGGTTTTAAAAAATTACTTTTAATCTCATAACAGCTGAAAGAAAAAATATAAAATAAATATTAGGTACTGTTACCATACTGTTACCGTACTTCTTTATATTTTTTTGTGGTAAGATTACCAGATGGTAAGCAAACAGCGTCGCAATGAAGGAGTTACCAGTACGATACTGACCTTTTGGGGATAAGATTTAGATATTATGGAGGGATTGGATAAGTGGAAGGAGTTTGGCCTCCGGTAACCTCACTCACACAGCGAACAACGTTGTGGTTATGTCACGGCGGTTTTCTGTAAGACCGTGGTATCACTCTGGCTGAGCGGACCCAGTCGTGCAGAAGTATAGTTATCCCACAGTCAAAAATATCTTGATTCTATCAATATGATAGATACAATCAAGAAACATATCACTCACATAACATATACCTACAATATATATTTTTTAAAGCCATGTAGGTAGGTTTAACTTCCAGAAGTTTAACATTCTGTAGTCCAGTTCCTCTTTATATTACCAAAAACATTGACACAAACTATTTTTTTTCTAAATCTATGATTTGTAACTTTTAACCTGAATTCAAATACGATGTGTAAACTAAATATAAGTCTAAGACCATTCAGGTTATAAAGAGCGATCGATCCGTGGAGACTGACACAAGCGCCGTGATTTATGACCCTCACAATTCTTGCCTCATTAAACAGACTCATAATAATATCTACGTAAAGATGTCTAGCAAAAGTCTAACGATGGCCTCGTTGATCGAGCGCATTACCGAGAAAGAGGTCATGTTTTTAGTGAGTACGAATAAGAAAAAGTACCTAACATCACCCAGGATGAAAGAAACCATTTTGATGATTTTCGCCCCACAAAAAGAGGGTTGTGTTATCGCTTCCTTCGAGTTAGGTGCTATATTGTCTGGCTTTCAAAAAAATCTCCATAGTATTGTCCTATGTGTGGCGATATGAAACAATGAAACAATGAATTTATTTTTGCAAATAGGCCATAAAACGGCACTTTTACACGTCAATTTATATGTGAAAAACTTGATGAAGCCGGCATGTCCTATCTGACTATTCTGAGAAGAAATGCCGAAACAAACTGAGAGGTCAGTCTCTTTTCAAGTCAAGACAATGTAAAAATAACTATATATAAATACGATAGGGACTACAAAGTACATAAGTGTGGGAGAGCCAAGCTTCGCCACGATAAAGCCACAAATCAAACGTCAAACTATTCATGATTTTATTAGAATGATTTTGACTTTAAGATCAGTCTGACCTTTTGGGTAATGCAGATAAGAGTATCAGATGGGTGCAAGGATCAAGAAGGTAATATTATAAAAAAAACCTTTTTGTAATTAAATGACAAATCATTCACACATGCATGAAGAGAACTATGTACTTAAAAAGCAGCAGCTATAGTATTATAGTAGTAACATTCGAGTTAACTACAATATACACATAACATGAATCTACATCAAGTTTTCCTAACCAGTACTGAAACAAGCCGTGCAGTATGAAAGCATCTCGAATAAAAATATACAAACAGGGCTAAAATATAGCTATGTGTATTTATGTCATATTGTCACTTTTCTTCTTCAGAACCGTTCTAGCGTAAGACTTCTCGCGTCGTGAGTCGTCTAACAAAACACTGAACCATCGTCTGCGCCAGGCATTATTCTTCTTATAATAGCTATTTAATATTTTATTATAAGAATAACCAAGAATATAAACTTTTATACTGAATTGTAAGCCTTTGGGAACTTACTAACATGTTTTTCTTAGAATATATTTAACTTTGTTAAGTTTACCGACGCCTACTCGAAGAATTATAGCAAAATTTTCCTCTAGTGAAACTCGCTGCTAACAGTTTTTACACATGGTTTATGTACCTACTTATTATTAGAATGTTGTTTAAACTAATAAAAGTGGCCTTTTCGTCCAGTATTGAGGCACAAATACAAAACTTCAAGTAAATGTTATTAGGTGATATTTATGATTTTGAAATTCGCATTAACTAGATTTTAACAGAAGTCATGATCGGGAGTTGAAGCAGTAATTTCCGTTGCTTAATATAGAGATTTCTATAAATACACGAAAGTATCGTAAACTGAGATAAGTCTCATAAAATTATTCAGATAGGTACTTACCTCAAATGTACCTAATATTAAGTTAAACAGTTGAAGCAACACCAGGAGAAGAAACGGGCTGGTTTTTAGGCAGTAGGTAAGTGTCTGACACTTCGATTCGACCCATCTAGGGCAAGATACTTAAGGTTTTTTAATTAAATACCGTACAAAAGAAAATCAATCCTACGGGGTTAGAATAGCAGATTCTCGCGGGTGTAATAAAGAAAGAAAGAAACTATTTATTTGTGAGAATGTAGTACAAATAGGGTTGTAGGTAATGTATACGATTTTACAGTTTGACTACTATAAAGTGTTGCTTTTATACTTAATCGGCAATTGAAGCATATAAATCAATTAAAAAATAAGTCACAGGACTTTTCAAACAAAGTCCTTTAACAGCACCAGTTGAACCTTTAATTTTACCATAGTAATTCTAGACACAACAGAAGAAAAATAACTAGGTACAAGAATACGCTTCATAACATTTATTTCATCAAGCATTCTTTATTAACCGCTTAATATCAAGAACCACAAAGCCAGAACATAATACTAATCACGGTAAAGGCTCGACAACCGACACGGAACATCGTAAACGATTATCGGGTACAATATACCCACAACACTCACTATTACCAGACCCTAATAAAATCCCGTCACACTGTCCTTTTCCTCAACAATTTACTGAGTTCTTTCATGAATCGTTATTACCACTAGGGTTGGTGTCGGGGCTCATAAAAAAGCTATTTCATGGACCTCTGAACGTCTCGTGATGAGGAAGTATTGAACTAGTTTCTTGTTGTGATTTTGTTTAGTGTTTTCTGTATCGCGTATGCACATATATTTGTTCATGGTTTTTGTAGTCTGTTGAGTTATGTAGTTTTTTATGTGCTTATTTACATCGTGGTGGGAGAGCCATGCTTCGGCACGAATGGGTCGACTCGACCGGAGTGATACCACGGCCTCACAGAAAACCGGCGTGAAACAACCACAGCGTTGTGTTGCGTCGTGTGAGTGAGGTTACCGGAAGCCCAATCCTTCCCCTCCCCCAATCCCTCTTCAATCCCTAAATCTTCAAATCTCTAATCCCTAAAAGGTCGGCAACGCACTCGTAACTCCTCCGTTGCGAGTGTCCATGGGCGGCGCTGAGTGCTTGCCATCAGGTATAAAGCCTGCTCGTTTGACGATCGTTTACATAAAAAAAAACATGATGTTTTTTATGTGATAGGACGGCCACCGTATTTTATCCTTCCTTGTTGGGGCGAGAGGGAGTGTCAGACTCTTATTGGATAAAAAGTCTGAAAACTACGCAGTTCCTTCTTATGCTCCGGGACAGGGTCAATTATTGCGCTTATGCCTCGGCTGAAAATCGGTCCTGTTGAGCCCCATCTATGGTGGTCTAATAGATCTTTGAGGCGCGCGCAGAACGCGCCATGGCTAAAAAAAGAATTATTGAAGGAGTTATACAAATTCTCGAAGCTGATAATCTAGGGCGTATGAAAACTCCAGATATTAAAAACGAACAAGTTGTCTATAATTTCTGAACAAATAAAAATTTTTAAGTAGATGTAACTAACGCCTGGTTTCCGTAAGGCCGATCAATGGTAAAATCAATTTATTCTCTTGTCAAGTCATCTGGTTGGTTGACTGAATTATCAACAACCAATCAGATGACTTGACAAGAGATTTGACAGGAGATTAGTTAATTTTAGCATTTACAAGTATTCCAGAAACTGGGTGTTAGTGTTTTACTAAAGACGCTTTAATTCCTCAATCCATATTTAGAACAATATCCGCAGAGATGCCGATGCACCACACAAACTAAGAACGTGGCATATTAAATTTTTACCTACCGTCTCGACCCAACTCTGTGCGAGTTTTGAAATGCAAATTTTCCAGGCGTTTCAGAATACGAAATTCGTAGGCGAACGGTTGAACCGTGTCCTCTACACAAATATTTAATGTTTGCCCTAAAATCCTGGATTTTTGAACGCGAACAACATTCATGCATGAGGTTTTATTTTTATAATTTCTGAATGTTTCTGGAAGTTTTTTAGATTAAGATTTTTATAAATCGAATTTTAATTTATGTCTTAAAATACACGGATACAGAAAAAGTGCGAAAGTGCACATTTAGTCATTTAAAACCCAGTTGGTGTTTGTATATATTTGATCATTAGACACCGGAGCAGGTGAAGGAACGGTATGGTTTTTAGTCAGTAAGATTGTGATGCTCCATGACAATGAGAGAGATACAATTGATAATTTTCTCCTCTAAAAAAAGACATAATTTCAAACCTACTCTCTAGGTTTCATGAAATTGATAAGACAAAGACGTCCTATCCGACTCAAGGATTAATTTCAAGACAAACATATGGAATAAAAAAAGTAGACCATACAAACACACCAAAATATATCAAAATAAGAACTCAACAATTTGAAAAATCATTAAATACACCAGTATTTATTCTCCAAATGGTCGGCTAAAAACACTGCTTAGGCACCTGTAAAATTCTCTTCCACACTTACATTGCTATGTAGAAACCTTTTTACTTAGACATCGATCTCGTTGATTGATGCGTTGCCAAGGGAATTCTTTCATGTCTCAAGGATACGAGGCCCATATCGTACTCCTTGCCAATACTTTTACATCAAAAGGGTTGATTGACGAAACGATGTTTCTCCAAACTTGACATGAAGTTCGGTAATGCCTTGGATTTGTTTTTGTGAAAATCTTTTATCTTCTTTTTTGGATTTTAAACGATTATGATATAAGTTTCTATGGATAGAAAAATATTTAGGTCAACCGAAATCGAGATATTATTTTTCAATGCGTTTATTACATTTACACATAACATTATATGGGCCAAAATTAAAGTAGGTAATATGAAAAAAGAGTGGACCAAAAGGCGGCAAAATTAAAATGGGACTAGGCCGGACACGGAGAGATGGGCCACTATTGTCACCCAGTGGACACCTCCCCCCTGGTCCATTCCGGGGCCGAGAAAAGATGGCGTGACGATCCAGACGCCAATCGTCGAGACTGGAGGACACGTTCGAAGGATTGGGAGGTGTGGAAGCGAGATGGGGAGGCCTTTGCCCAGCAATTAAACATTACAGGCTAGTACAAAATATATTAGAAAAGAAATATGTATTAATGTAATCATATACTAACGTAAATTATCTTTATCCTAGCGAATTAATAATTGCTTCATACACATATTTTATTTTAATTGCTGACTTTTTTTTGTGAGGGGAAAATCATCAAATGACTTCTCTCGCCCAGGGCCGGGTGGGAGGGAGTGTCAGACTCTTACTGACTAAAAACCCCCCTGTTCCTTCTCCTGCTCTGGGCCGAGGTCGCGGTGGTTCATTGCGCTTACCCCGCAACCACGGCTGAATTTTAATTGCTGACTTGACATGTAATGTAATTCGTTTATTCTAAAGTGCTTTATCGTTATTATTATTATCTACTTACTTGTTTGTTCTATGTTTATATTATAAATGTCACTGTCATACTTCAAAATTATTGTATGCCATTATGACGGGTCATAGTAGTGTACAATTGTAACACCTATTTGCTTACCTATGTACCACAATAAAGAATATTGTTATGTATAGACTAACTTAAAACCATGTATATCAGAAGTCTATCAAACAAACTACAAATGGTTGAAAATGTTTTTATAATAACTATCGTGAGACATACTAAATTAACTAAAAATCGCGGGTTACTCACGTGTATAAATTGAGAAAAGCTCTACTAGTTTCGAACCACAGAGGGGTTCTTCCTCATGAGCAATCCTCTTCCGCGCACGCTGATCATGAGAAAGAACCCTCTGTAGTTCGAAACTAGTAGAGCTTTTCTCAATATACACACGTGAGTAACCCGCGATTTTTAGTTAATTTGGTTGAAAATGCTTGGTTTACACAACATTGAGTCCACAACTGAACGATGCTGAACCAATGATAAATTTTTTGAAGAAATGAAGTGATAAATCAGTGCCGTAATAGATAGGGCATGAAACAGAATAATATAACAAACTAAACATAAACAGAGAAGAGAGTATCGCGACAATATTCATTGACCCATATAGCGGTACTCGATATAAGCAAATGTCAATGGCCGGTCAAGTGGGTGACCTGATAACCTCGCACACAATTTTTATAACTATAACGAAGAATTCGAGAATATCCAGTTAGCACAAGATAGAAGATAGATGAATGTAAGTGTAGAGGATATTATTAAAATATTTTCATAAACTAATAAAAACTCCGCGCAAGACGATTTAGATTCAGCTTAGGTGGTAAAGCCCAATAATGTACATATATCACAGCCATGGCCTGCAGGAAAAGGACCGGGTTAGTTTTTAGTCAGTAAGAATCACCATGGGCGAGAGATAGGAATAGGAAAAGAAAGGATTGCGAAACACAACTCTGTCGTTGTTTCAAGCCGGTTTTCTGTGAGGCCGTGGTCATCACTCCAGTCGACCCCACCCTTTCGTTCCGTAGCATGGCCCTTCCACATTTTTTATGGATTTGTAAACATATATTTTTATAAGTCACATAAAATCAATTACTATATAAAAAAATACCTTACTGTGTAGGAACATACTATAAGTTAATTAAAGCTACATTACTAACTCGTGATCTCGTTAAAGAAATAAGGTTCCAAAAATTTGAAGACGAAAAAAACGCGTAACCCATCAATTCATTAGTTAACGCCTTAAAAGTTCTCGAAATCTCTTAAGGTAATAAAATTGTTTAATTAAAATCAAAATGAAAAATTCTTGGTCATACAGAAAAAAAATTGTAAGCGGTTTTCAATCCGATTAAAAAGCACTTTCTATTTTTACCATTCTGATACCACTTCTTAAATTAATACTTACCTAGCAACAAGAAAAAGTGGCCAATAACTAGTCGCCATAAAGTGCGAAGAGTTCCAAAATACGAAAATTACATTTTATTGTATGGGAGCACCTCAGAATACAGAACAAACTGTATTCTGAGGGGAGCACCTCAATAACTATATTTTATTGTGATTTTAGTTTAGTTTTTTTAGCGACTATTTTAATTACCTTTCCAAATTTCCAGCAATCACATTTCGTAAGATGCAGCCTAATGACAGACAGTTGAGTGTTGAAGAGCCATGCTTTGGCACCAACGACGGTACGACTGGAGCAGGATACCACGGCCTCACAGAACACCGGCGTGAAAAACACTTATGTCATTCATATCCCTAGGACGAGCTAGACTTAAGTGTTTCGGTGTCTTCATGGTTGTATCTACCGTGGCTTACAGGAGTTGCAGCGGCTTCGGGAGGTTTAAGCGGGCTTGTCCCTTAAGAAACTTGCGTTGTGTTTTGCCGTATGAGTGAGGTTACCAAAGACCCAATCTTTCTCTCAACTCCTCGATACCTAAATTTTTAAATCTCTAATAACCCACCGAAGGCTTGCAACGCACTTGAAGCAACTCTTTTCAACGAGATCATGGGCAGAGCCTATTGCTTCGTATCAGTCATCCTAAAAGGAAGAAGACAGCAGAGTCTTGTGATTTGTTTGATTTGGTTTCTGTTTTTACCATTTGGGTAAATAACTGATACTACTAACTAATTTAATTACTGTGGTAATTCTGTATTTTTCTTTTCTTTGGATTAAACACCACCTCGAGGCGAAGAGTTTTGAAGAGGTCCAGAATAAAAAGTATCTGCTTTATGTATGTGCTTGTGGTCAAACGGGATTAACATATCCTAACGTTTTCCGAGAAGTTAAAATCGAAAATTGTTCGTATCGAAACGAGTATTTATTGGGAGCGGCCTTCAGTTGCTGTGACAGAAGTTATAATTTGGTTTCAAAGCCCTAAACTAGGCATTAAATATTTATAACATTAAAAATATATACTTGAAAAGACAGTCTGGTAAATTATTGAGTATATTTGTTCCGCGTGGTCTAAATACAGAAGTGATTAACGTAACTCTTAAAAAGTGAGAGCTTTTTTAGAAATCTGGTTAGGCAATAGATGGATATAAGTTGTTGTAAAAATTTCAAGTGTCAATTTTTCATAAATTTATCGAAATCTACCATAATATTAGATTTTGCTAGCGCCTTCACCCTCAGTGTAAAAAGCGTATACTATGTTAGTCCAGACTATAATCTATCTCTATACCGAATTGCATTTAGTTTGGTGTATACCTAGTATTATGAAGCCGTAAGTTTTTGTTCTTCAATTTGCCACCCTTTTGGATTTTCTCCTACATCGTGGGTGCATTTACAAACATACACATTCATATACACTAGCCACCCAGACTTGAAACAACAATTTGTCGAACACACAAAAGGTATTCCGTTCAGAAATCGAACCTGCAACACGTTGCACAACAAGAAGATTCCTAGCCACTATGCCAACCATGTGTACCAAATTTGAAAGAGTTGTCATTAAAACAGAACCTTAAGCTCAGTAAGAGCTACCAAGCGTACCGCGCGTAACGTTCCGCGCGCGTTCCAAAGAGCCAATAGACCACCACAGACGGGGTCCAACAGGGACAATATTCAGCTGGGGTTGCGGAGCAAGCGCAATAAGGTACCGAGGGCTCGGCCTGGAGCAGGAGAAGAAACGAGGGGTTTTTTAGACAGAATAGAGTCTAACACACTCTCTTACCATACCCTAGGCGAGAGAAGTTATAAAATGCTTTTCCATGGTTGGACTCCAGGCTAAATTAGAGCTGTGACCTGCTAAGAAAATTATATAGAAGTAAACCTTTATTTAAACAGAATCACACATACTGCGATATAATTAGTAACAGATGCATGCGATAAGTATTGGATGTGATATTTGCAGAGATAACAATAAAAAGCAACAATAACGGTCCCAATTATGCTCCTAGTATCAACTGGAGAACTGCAACACACTTGGAACTGTGATACCATTAAACTGTGTTCAAATGAACGTGACGAGGAAACAGATGCGCATGAAACAGCTTCGTGCTCGTACCTACAGGAGCGGGTTTATTGTAATGTGGTATTTACAATATATGTATATAGAGGTGAAATTGCTCTGTATATAGAGTTCAATGATTGCAGTATTGGTTTGGTTTGGCTGAAATTAATATCAAACGTGAATTCAAATGTGCTTATCATAAAGTCAATGGGTTAAGGTTTAAAATTAGTAAGCAAATGCTTTTGTGGAAACCGCATCAACATTATTTCAGTTAAACGCCAACAAAATATACATATATACTAACATACAGGTGGTACTGAGAACTCTTCTTCTTCCTTCTTCTTCAAAAGAGGAAATAAGCTATCATTACGTCGTTTTTTGTGGGGGAAATAATCATCATATGACTTTTCACGTCCAGAATGGAACGAGAGGGAGTGTCAGGCTCTTGCCGACTAAAAACCTACGTTCCTTCTTCTGCTCTAGGCCGAGGCCTTGGTACATACATTATTGCGCTGGTCCCGTTATCTCGGGCAAAGAGGACATTAGCTATCATTAGGTACACCACACACCTACTATTGTTTGGGAAATACTATAATGTTTTATTGATCTTCCGATGTGATAAGCTGCTCAAAACTATGTAGTACTTTACTCGTCAGCCAAGTATATAGAAACTCTGGATATTGGAAAATCAGTTGCAACCACGACAAAGCAACAGAAAATGTAGCGAAGAATTATGTGTTTGTGATTTTCGGGGTTATTGTTTTATAAGAAGAATTCTAAAAGAAGTTTTCTTTTATCTCGTAAAGTTTTCGATAGTACACTATTACTTTTGTTAGTGTTTCACGACAGTTTTAAGTGCCTCCAGTCGAGCCGATCCATTTGTCCCGAGGTATGGCTAAAATCTGTCACACACTTAAAATAAGCATATTCCATCTGACCCGACACTTAATTATGATATGATTGGTACATTTCACGCTGGTCGATATGATTATTAGATTATGATCGGTTTCAGATTAACCTGTTACAATTAGTGACGTACTGATTGCAGTCATGTATAATGCACATAGTCACGTGGAATTGAAATCAGATGGTAGGTAATTAAAGCAATATGTGCTGACGTAAGTATGTCTGTCATGACGGTTGAATGTCGTTTGAGAGATTTGTTGATTTTTTTTTATATGATACGAAGACGGATAACCTGAAAGTAAGCAATCAGCGCCGCTCATTGACATCCGCAACAGTGGAGGAGTTACGTGTTCGTTGCTGACCTTGTAGGTGTTTGGAAATTTTGAGATTAGGGGGGGATTGAGCGATTGGGTCTCCGGTAACCTCACTTACTCGACGAAACACAACGCTGAGATTGTTTCACGCCGGTAACACATGTGACACATGGCATCATTTTTAATGGATCCAATTTAAAATGTAGAACATAAAAAATATTGCTATAAAAAATAGACCAAAAACAGTACCAACTTAATAATATTTCAAACAATACGTTTGTGGAATTGATTATAAAAAAGTAACCATGGACAGCCATGGACTTTCTTGTTCGTTCTTCTCCGTTGGAAGAAGCGAATAGTTTCACCAAGAGGACTGACTGAAAAGCTGTCACTTTTTACCTTCAAACTTTCTTTGACTTTGAAAAGGTTTAATCAAAATAAAATAATTTTGACTTTTGAATATGTCAATAACAAATTGACTTAGTTTTATTTTAAATACATTTTGTATCGGTTTCATCAATTTTATTCAATTGAGAATAACCTATAATTACATAGAAAACTTACCCAGCTTTGTTGAAACTAGTGAAAAATTTGGATGTAAATAAAAATATTTTTGGTATGAGTATAAAAGATCACATTAATTTCTGTTGGTCTAAAAAGGCAATAGTTTGAGTTATTTTTTTATATTATGTAAACAATGAAAAATTTAATTTTCAGGGAATATAATTTGCGTCGTTATAATGAGTTCTAAGTCGCCTTCATAAGCCAGACAAAGCCATGGCGATAGGTACTGAAGAAAAGGTCAAAATACACAAAATGATAATTCCACTTAGATTATTCTTTAGACAAAACAAAACCCACGCACGAATCTCAATTCTAAAAAGACGTAAGTGACATTGAAGTTAATAATACCCTTATGTTCTTTGTGGCACGTGTCAATTCACATGAGCAGGCACACGTCATGTAACTAACGTATGTTTTTCTAGAATTGCTATATTTGTTACATAGGACAAACATGGCCTGGGGTGGTTCGCAATTCAATCAAAATATCCGAAAGATAGAATAATGTAAGGAAAAAAAGGTGCAAAAAGTATGGTGTACTGTGGGCGTGTTCTACTTTATCTGAGATAGTGGGTAAACATCGTTTGTCTCACGCTTCGGGCTACGTTCAGATTGGGCCTGGAAACCAGCGAGGTATCACTGTAATTTTAGTGATTCTTAGCGTAGGTAGACACTATTTTTGTGGTCGGATATCGTCAAATAGGTCTTTTTCAACCTGGTCTGTAATGATATTCATGATAGGTAGATGTAGGTATGCTTTTTTTTCACATCCATCCATCCAAACTAATATTATAAATGCGAAAGTAACTCTGCCTGTATGTCAGTGTATCTGTCTGTATATCTGTCTATTTTTCACGCCTGCACTACCGAACCGATTTATGTGAAATTTGGTACAGACATAGTTTGGAACTCGAGAAAGGACAAGGATAGTTTTCATATCAAAAATCTGTAGAAAGTCATTATTTCACTCAAACGAAGTAATAAGAAAAGCTTGTCTCCGATATAAGAACGAGCCGACCCATTTGTACCGAAGCATGGCTCTGCCACACTTACATATTTCATCCTAATACTTTCACTGAAGGGATTTTTTTAGTTAAGATCCCATTTTCAAAATTATCTATCTTTCTTTGACCTGAATTCCTAGTTTTCATAGCCAAACCCCGCAACTGTAAGGGTAGGAAGCTTAATGATGTTTGTTTCGAAATAATTTAAAACAATCGCGACGCTAATGAACCATCTCACGCGCAGACGCTTACATTGACTGTGTTTACTAACTCCTAACAATGTGTCATGTGAAAGGAATGATTACTACCTAGGGTGATTTCGTTTACTGCCTGGACACTATCTATGAAAGTGGTCACTTGGGAAAAAACTATTGTTTTTGCCATAACGTTGGCTTATACTTTCTTTACTCCAAAAGTTAAATAAATTGTATTAGGTATTTGATTATTTTCTTTGTATGTTCAAAATGACTGGTGCAGTCACTCCGGTTGAGCTAGCCCATTTGTGCTTAAGCATTTATATATTATGCATCAGCAATTTCTAACATATTCAGTCCAAACTGAGTTTGAAGTAACTACTTGACCTTCGAACAAAACTCAAGTATCTAACACATATGATCATTAACCAAGAAAAATATAAGATAAAAATCATTTATATTTAAATGGAAGATACTTTTAAAAAGCGTAAAAAAATAGTAGTGAAAGTTCATTTTCATAATTTTAATCTCGTTAAAGTAGAACGAAATTTCCTGTTTCATGAACCTTTAGGGATGACACATAGAACAGGGTGTAATAAGCTGAATATTTTACAACTTCATTTACATAGGTAGGTCTAGTTATAACATATTTAAGAGCTATCGGTTCATCTCTCTCTGATCCAGATTGTCGATAACGTTCGGTGATTTATTGATTAACAAAATGAATTACTTTAATGACTAGCATGATCGGCCAATTACTCTGTGAAACAACATTGAGATGACCCTCAGCACAAATTATTATCGACGGTTTCAGCTAGTACCAACGAGATTTATCAGTTACCCAAGCTCCATAAATACCGGTCGATATGCTAGCACAAGACCAGAGACGTATCGATTGGATTAACGAAAAGAAAAGATCGAAACACTTGAGAAGAACAATGAGCAACTCGCACTTGACGAAGGCAGTTTGTGTAACTGCTGTCAGTATAATAGTATCGGTGATGGCGCTTTCCGATGTGAATCAACGCTGTATAGCAGAGAATAATGGCACCATGTCGAACGACTTCTTACTTGGAACTTGGTACTTCGTCTACGAATTTAATCACATTGGTCCAATTCCTACGTGCACTTGTCCTTACATCACCTTCACAAGGCCTACAGAAGAAGAACTCAGTAAATATCGAGCTAAATTTGATTCATATGATCTTCCTCACAAAATTACTGAAGATTCACTTGTTGCTGATAACGGATATGTAAAGGGTTTAGTACTGGGTGGTTTGGAAACGAAAACATATATAATTGACCCTAACAATGCGATGGGTAGTGGTGCTGAAGGGTACGAAGTATATGTCTATAGGCGTATCAATGAAAAATTTGCGTTCTTCTGGCGCTGTGCAATGAGAGGTCACGTTCGATGGCTGATGACAAACGACAGGAATGCCACTGAGGAAGAAAAGCAGCTTGCCATTAAAGACCGAAGTGAAGTATTCAACAAGCTAATTCGAAAATATTGTGTTGATATCTGTTACTAATAAATAAATACAGTTTAAACTACTTTTATAGTTTTAATTTGGGCACCTTTATGATCTTACTTTGTTTCTATCCTAGCAATAGGACGTCTATTGTCGTTTAAATTAAGTAGACTCATTTAAAATTAATGTTATAGTTACCAGATGTTTGTAAAATACCAGGAAGTCTCTGGGGGCTAAAAAAATTAAAGCAGTAGTTACTTCTAGCAGTTTCAAATAATGTCATACAAATAAAAAAGTTTTCAGTTTATTTAAACTAAATGTCGATGATCACCGAGCCGTCAAGGTCTACCACCCAGTGATCTGCCCTTGCCTTAGGGCTTAGTGGAGGGGGAGCAAGCTTTACCCCCAGCCCGGTGGTCGGCCGTCTTACCAGCCATCGTACATGCTACACAGTGCAGCGGAGTGGTGCAAGTGCCGGCCCTATGACCAGGCTGACCGCAGCGAAGTCGCTGTGATCTACCTCTGAAGTGCATTAAGTACACACAGTGACCTACAACGCAGCGGTTTGAACTCAAGCAACTTTACCTGTTCGGACAACCAGCCCACCAGGATTCTCTTGCCCTCCCTCAATTTTTGAGGGAATGGAGCAGCTCGCTACGACCCTCCGCACCTCTGAATTGTCGGGGCAGATGGCACTTGTCTTGACTTGTTTAGCAGGGCCCCCTCCCGTCTAGGCGATAGCAGTCGTCACTACACTCTCTGAGACGGAGTCTTCCGGGCCCATTATCCGCAATTACAGGCACTTGGTGGGCCTGAACACGCGAGTTTAATCTTGTTTAGTTAAAGTATAACAAAAACTCTATGCAACATGAACCTTTAGGGATGACACATAGAACAGGGTGTAATTAACTGAATATTTTACAACTTCATTTACATAGGTAGGTCCAGTTATCATCACATATCTCAGGACTATCAGTTTATCTTTCTCTCTCTCTATTGTCTAGACTGGCGATAACATTTGTTGATTTATTGATTAACAAAGTAATTACTTTAATGACGAACATGATCGGGCAATCACTCTTTAAAACAACATTGAGATGACCCTCAGCACTAATTATTATCGACAGTTACAGCTAGTATAAACTAGATTTATCAGTTACCTAAGCTCCATAAATACCAATCGATATGCTAGTACATGACCAGAGACGTATCGATTGGGTTAACGAAAAGACAGAATCGAAATATTTGAGAAGGACAATGAGCAACTCGCACTTGAAGAAGGCAGTTTGTGTAACTGCTGTCGGTATAATAGTATCGGTGATGGCGCTTTCCGATGTGAATCAACGCTGTATAGCAGAGAATAATGGCACCATATCGAACGACTTCCTACTTGGAACTTGGTACTTCGTCTACCAATTTGATCACATTGGTCCAATTCCAACATGCACTTGTCCTAACACCACATTCACAAGACCTACAGAAGAAGAACTCAGTGGATACCGAGCTAAATATGGTTCATATGATCTTCCTCACAAAATTACCGAAGATTCACTTGTTGCCGATAGAGGATATATTAAGGGTTTAATTCTTGGAGGCTTAGAAACGAAGACGTATATAATCGACCCTAAGTCTGTGATGAGCAGTGGTCCTGAAGGGTACGAAGTGTATGTCTACAGGCGTATCAATGAAAAATTTGCGTTCTTCTGGCGCTGTGCCATGAGAGGACATGTTCGATATCTGATGACAAACGACAGGAATGCCACTGAAGAAGAAAAGCAGCTTGCCATTAAAGACCGAAGTGAAGTATTCAACATGCTAATTCGAAAATATTGTGTTGATATCTGTTACTAATAAATAAACACAGCTTAAACTACTTTTATAGATTTCATTTGGACACCTTTTATGACCGTACTTTGTCACTATTCTAGTAATAGAACGTCTATTTCCATTTTCTTCCCAAAAGATCTCTTAAAAGTAATATCTATTTCTAGTAAAGTGTCTCAAAAAATGCAATTGGAAGAAACGTCCAGCTCAAAGATGACGTACAAAGAATGTTGTATGGAACTGTCGAGCGCTCCGTCTCCAGAGACACAGCTGAGTGAAACTGACTTAAACGAGATTTCTTACATTTATTACATTTTTATATTTCTATTGTGCTGGGAAATGAAAGTTTTTAAATTTTCTTTAGATCGTTGATCAAAATCGTTTTATGAGAAAGGATTGGACAATTATTAGAGCGCACTAATTAGAATCATTTAAAATTAATGTTGTAGTTATCAGATGTCTATAAAAATACCAGTAGCTATAGACCTACTGGTACTAGGAGACAAAAAAATAGAAGGCTTGGTTTTTCAATTTCAAGTAGCTTCTAAAAATTTCATAATAACAACATAAAGTTTGCAGTTTATTTAAACAAAATTCTCTAAATCAAGGTCACAGCAGTTTTCTTCTTGGGACGGCTGTTAAATTGCTAGGTTATGACGCTGTTGCGTAACCCTAGGTTCATGCGAGGAGTTTCGTCGATCCATGTAATATTCAAGTGCCTGTATATCCATTATTCAGTCGGCGTCACACCGGGCCTCCCGGCAAAGCACCCGGCGTGAAAACGAACAAATTATTAACGAGATTTGCAAAATATGATCCTCGTAGAGCTTATGGTAAGGTTGTTATATCTTCATCCATTGTAAGGTCGGGTAATTTTATTTATAAACCTCTTTCATATGAATTTTAGGTGTTTGGTTTTTTTTGTGGTATTGCATTTTGTACGTTATTCCATTAGAACATAGGTATCAAATTTAAGATTTTAATTCAAACAGAATTAGTTGGTGATTGTCTTTTTTTTTTTGAGCAGACATTTCACTTGATGCCATGCCCTTGATCGGCGCCTGATGCTTCTTGCGATGGTGTTTTTGCGAATAATTGCGATTTATTTTTCTTATAAAGTCATACTTTATACCATAAAATCATATTCGGATCAAGAAGAGGTTCCATTTTTAATTTCTTCTTCATTTTTTGCTTGTTAATATAAACTTGAAACATCACAATCTTGATGGAAAACTTCAGTAACTAAAAGCACTTCATTCATTCATTCATCACTCAATGTATAAAAAAGAACGAAGCGTTATCTCAATCCGCTTAGGTCTTAGATCATTGCTTTTCATTAAGTTTTTTAGTCTGCAGTTGACATTATCTTGGTAAAACGAAAGTTGAATCTCCATTAGGACATTTGTCAAGTCACTCTTTCTTCTATCAGCTAAAGTACAGAGTTAAATCAAAATTAATGGTGATCTTGGTTGGTCAGCTAAACGTGGCCTAGAACATCGTAGTTTCTCTTCAGTGTTGAATGTAGGAATAATTTCATCATCAGTCTATAAGTGTCAAAACGCTTCTTCCCACACTACCCACACCATAGAATAATGAGCATTAATCACTACGCTTGCTTGAACAAATTGATTATTTAAAACTTTTTACGCAGGATTCTTAACTTTTTTTTTTCAATGTTCGTCATTGGACGAGTACTGTTTTTTTTTTAATTTTTTTTTTTTTTTAATTTATATAACTCGACTGCATGGTTGGTGCGGTGGCTGGGCAACTGGCTGCCGTGCAACGTGTCGCGGGTTCGATTCCCGCACGGAACAACTCTTTGTGTGATACACAAATTGTTGTTCCGGGTCTGGGTGTCATGTGTATGTGGAATTGAATGTTTGTAACCGCACTCACGACACAGAAGAAAATCCTAGTGAGGGGCAACGTTATCTTAAAGAAAAAAAAATTGGAGTTTGAGTAATCTTAGAATGAAAGTACAATTTACACGAAAAAAATTTTACTTGCCAGTTCTGAATCATCACCTCATGCATAAGTCGCTGACCACCGTGCGCTACCAATATTATTATGCAGTTATGAGTAACTGTTTAGAAGTCTGGGTTAGTTGATAAATTTATTTAAGATAATACCTAACGGGCTATTTTATTAAAAATTCTCGTTATTATTGCTAGCACAAATCTGCAAACATCCTACTAAAACTGGAATCGTGTAAAGAGGTTTATTATTATGTATAGTATGTAAATATAATTTATATTTTCTGAAACAAATTGCTACCTCATGCTTGTAATTTCCCTGTATCGTGGGTGCGTTTACAAACTTACGATTTCGCATACACATCATACCCAAACCCGGAACAAAAATTTGTGAATCACACAAAGTATTGTTTCGTGACATGTTGCACAACAGCCAGTTGTCCAGCCACTGCACCAACTGTGCAGTTATCTTATCACGATATTGATTAAAATTTGTTCAAATAAATATTTTTTTTGCTTTGCGCATTAACGGAGAAATTGCTTTGTAATAACTAATTATATACATTAATTAGTGATGTTATCAATAATTAGCACGAATATTGACTAATAAAGCGCGTGTAATTTATCCTATAGTAATTATAAGATAAGCAATGGCATTAATAAATATATGAAAAGAAACGAAAATTATGATTAATGCATTATAAAGTGAACAGAGTAATTCTATTTTAGAAGGTCGGTCATAAATAGATCAAATTATACTTACACCCTAATCCAATAATAGCCCAAAAAGAACAACAAAGAGGATTAAACAGAGATTCCCTAAAAACGGGTAAAAATACCCAAAACGGGATTCAAAATGATGGCCCATTGTGTGACGCGTGCGGCGTGACAATTATCCGATAATGACGTGTTTAGCGTGACAGATAACAGGGACCCGTCAATCTTTACATTAAGCGTATTGCAATGACAGCTTACCACGAATATTAGCCATTTATAAGCAAAAAGCAAAAAAAAATACAACAGAACATCAAACTACCCTGCTATTACGCAATACATTTTCGACTCTATTTGCAAACTGTCAAAGTTTAAAACATCATATTCAATATTTATTGATTAAAATAAGAATTTCTGTAAAGAGGTTATAATCCTGGCAATCAATCGAGAGAGAAAAAGTAAAATAATAAAAAAAGAATAACAACAGCTGTCACCGTTTGAACGTTTTCGTAAATGGAATCGTATATAGAATAAAATGAAAAATTATAGAAATATGAGATCTATTGAGTTCACTGATGTTCATAACTTTTAAAATAGTTATTTGTTATTTATAGTAAGAGGGCATTGCTCTGGGCTATGATTGACTTTAAATTATTATTACTATTGGGTATTGACTTATAGTTATAACTTGGCGTCTCATTCCATCATATGACGTTGATTTATTTATTAATCCTTTGCACAGAAATTTATTTATTTTTTATTGCACCAAAAAAGTTATGTAAGTTATATAAGTACCTTTCTTTTTATTCCTCATTAAGTTTTATTAAAATCTGCTAAAATTGATAAAAGACATCATATTACACGAAATTAAAATAAATAAATTAGGTCCATAAAGTTCTAACGTTCTTACTAGTTATAATATTGACTTTCTTAGCCGTCTTTTGGTGCGAATGGGCCGGCTCCATCGGAGTGATACCATGGACTCATAGATTAGCGTTGTGAAACAACACTTACGTTATGTTTCTGTGCGTATTCCTCAAATCCCCTAACTGTCAACTCTAGTCGGCAACGGACTTAAAGTATTCGAGTGTCCATGGGCGGCGATTGCTTACCATCAGGTAATCCATCTGTTCGTTAGCCGACCTATCGTATAGCAAAAAATTGCTAATTTAATTTTTAACAAAATTAAAATTGTTTTATAATGTATGTTGTTTCATGCATTTAATTAAGATAAGTCTCAATCAGAACTTTTTGTTTACAAATTGATTTAGGGCTGATTTTTCAATGGGTAAATAAAAGTTACTTGGGGAATAATTATGATGCTGTCGCGTCAGAATGTTTGAATAAGACAGTGACAGCAACAATTTTATTCCTCAGATAACATTTAGATGACTATTGAAAAACAGACCTTAAAACAATAGTGAGTAATTTCTGAGCTAGGTCTGTACCGGTTCACTTTGACAGTTGGTTTGGTATTGCAAGTTAGTGGTGCAGACAGTTCGTAGATTGTTCGAGCAATACTCGTAGTTCAGGATTTGGCCATAGTTTTGGTCCAAATTAATATGGCTATGCAATTCATTTACATTAAATAACAATGTTTTGTTAATTATAATTAATTAATAATGATGATGAATACGACAAGGAAAGTATAGACAAATGTAAAAAAAAAATATAGTGTAAATAGTGAAGGGACGGGAGAGCCAAGCTTCGGCACGAATCGGTCGGCTTGCCTGGATTGATACCCCGGCCTCACAGAAAACCGGCGTGAAACAACTACAGCGTTGTGTTTCGCCGTGTGACTGAGGTAAACGCCTCCCCACATCCCGTCCCATCAAAAAGCCGGACATGCACTCGTAACTCCTTTGGTGTCGCGTGTGTCCATGGGCGGCGCTGATGGCTTACCAGCTGATGATTAATACGTCTACTTAATTGCCGACCTTTCCAATAAAAAAAGATAAATAAACAACAACAATGCCTCTTCTCATACAGAAAAGGTTTAAGTATTACCTAATCAATTCACTCACTCAAGTTGGACTGGCGATTTCAAACTTACTTATAATTAGAAATTATAATTCAAGGGTTCCTCATGATATTTTCATTTACCTTTTAGTTCAGTACTTAAGTTTTAAAAAAAATATTATTCAGTTTGTTGTAAAATGAAATTTAAGTAACAGTTAACTAAGTTCAAAACAGGAGATATAATTTAATTTATTTTAAGACTACCTACTTTGAAAGAGCATTCAAATGAGACTAGTTCCATCTCTTTTTTGGGAACAAATTCTCTGAAATAATTCAGACAGAACGCTACTAGTGTAGTTCTTATTAGAATTTAGCCCTTCATGACCTTGGCGGGGCTATTTAGT